TTGGAAAATGAAAAATTCCTAAACTTACAGTCAGGGAAGAAAATTGAGATGCCTACATGTCAGGGCCCGTGGAACGGCGGGAATCGGGAGCCTTGAGCTCCCTCCCCCAGCTATTTTTGAAAAGTATATTAAAGAGAAATAGAAAGAAAGAGAGCAAGAAAGAAAGAATAGTTAACTGTCAGTGTCACAAAATAATGAGGTATCAAAATATGCTCATCTGACCGTGATTAAATGCTTAAATCTCCTGAGCTTCCGGGGGTTCTGACCCCTGGATTCCACCTAGGGCACTAAGGCAGGCCCTTAGATGCTCATCTGACGGTAATTTTATGCCTAAAAACCCCTAATTTCTGAGGGCTCCACCCCCTGGACCCCACGCCAAATAGAGTCCTGCCAGTGTCACAAAATAATAAAGGTATCACAAAAATGCTCATCTGACAGTAATTAAACGCCTAAACCCTGAGCTTCCGGGGGCTCTGACCCTTGAACCCAACCAAGGACACTAAGGCAGGCCCCTTGGTACGAACGTAATTTAATGCCTAAAACCCTTTAGCTGAATTTCAGACAAGGATTAAGAGTCGAGAACGGTACAACGAATCGTCTTCTTTCTCTCATGATTAAATGAAACGTAAAAGCTTCGGCGCTTCGCGCGGGAGGGGGAGAACTGAGTTCAGATAAGGATTAAGAGTCGAGAAAGGTACAACGAATCGTCTTCTTTCTCTTATGATTTAATGAAACGTAAAAGCTTCCGTGCTTCCCGCGGGAGGGGGGGATGAATTCAGACAAGGATTAAGAGTCGAGAAGGGTACACTTTTCGTCTTCTTTCTCTAATAATAAAATTAAAAGTCATACCTTCCGCGCTTCGCGGAAGAGGGAGGGGGAAACTCGCCCCTCCCTGCACCCACCCCCCCCCCCATTACGTCAGCGCTTGTTGAGGTCTTAAAGTGTAACATGGTCTTAAAGTGTAACACGGTGCCTAAGTTCCTGAAAAATTAGTCGATGCGCACAGCGCCTTGGCATAATACATCTAGCTAAGTGTTTGCTGTTCACTCGAACTAACCAGCTGGCCGCAGCAATGTCTCGCCGAATTAACTAACTAATCAATATATTCAGGGGGGGGGGGACAAAAAAAAGACACTTTCGGGGGGGGGGGAGGGCACATACAAAGGGAAATCTCAAAGCAAAAATATAAAATTGTTTAAATTGTGGTCACAATAATGAGGGATGATTTCAATATTTGTTTCTCAGACTCTTTTAACTGAACATGCATGGTCCAATTAGCTACTGTTTAAGCATCATGTTACTTTGCACAATCTGAATATTCACTTACATGACATGGAAGCAAAAGTTTCAAGATAAGTGAGGTCGCTGTGCGAAAAATTACAGCTTGGGATTTTAATCACGATGATGAAAGACTGAAAACTATATAACACACTTATATCAACTATAAATGCGATCTAGCGTAGACACAAGCTTGGGGGGGGGGGGGGTTAAAGAAAAAGAGTTGCTCTTAGTCGCTTAAAAAATAGGGGCACATGTTATGGATAAATGAAAATGGAGCACTCAGATGGAAAAAGGACATTTATTTGAAAATAAAAGGAACATGTGTCTAAGTAAAAGGGGCAGTAATCAGTGGTGAAAACGGGGCATTTCTCGCACCTGAAAAGGGGCACTCACCAGAGATTTTTAAAAGGGGCACTAATGATAATGAAAAATAGGCATTTGTCGCAGGAAAAGGGGAACCTATAAGATTTTGATAGGGGCATTTATCAAAGATGAAAAGGGGTATTTATGAAAAGGAGAGGGGCCGTATAAAAAAGGGAAAAGGGGCACCCATTAGGAGGGAAAGGGTACTTACAAGAAAGGAAAAGGAGGCATGTGTCAAAGAGGAATTTATGAGAAAGGGAAGGGGCTCTTATTAAAAAGGGGAAAGTGGCACATATCAAAAAGTAAAAGGGCACTTATTAGAGGGGACGCGTGTCAAGGTAAACAATAAAAAGGGCTATTATCAGATATTATAAGGGGCACTTATGAACTTGTGACAAACATACAATCCAGATGAAATACGCCATAGGATGAAATCATTTCTTCACAGTATACGAGTAAGGAAAGAAAAATATAAGAAACCAAGATTACTTTTAAAATTAGAGAAAAAAATAAGAAAAAGATAAAGGAAAGAAGGGAAAAAAAGGTAGCCAGGCCTATAAAAAAAACAAGAGGTTGACTAGAAGTGAAGACATGGTATCAATATTATCTTGCTCTTTTCCCTTCTTCTTTCGTCTTCTTTTCATTTCAATTTTCGTTCAATTTATTTCTATCTTTCTTGGTTTCTTTTTCCTATATTCTATTCATTTATTATTTATATTTATTTTCTTTTTTTACTTTTTCTTTTTTCTTTCTTATCCCATTTTCTTCTTCCTTTCCTTCCTTCTGCTTCTTCAATTTCTTTTTCATTTGTTTTCTTTTTTTTGCGGCTTACTTTCCGGCATATTTTCATCATCAAGAGAAGTTAAATGTGCTAGATAGATGTAATCAGAAACAATGATATCTCCAAATTCTAATGGCAACTGGTATTGCTATTAGACTGAAGCAGGCGCGTACGCAGGATTTTTTCAAGGGGGGGGTTTTAACATTTATAAATCGGTCCGAAAATTTCGCAACGACTCAGCCAGCCGCTGAATAAGGGGGGGGGGGGGGGGGGGGGGGGGGGGGGGGGGGGGGGTAAGAGGACACATTTTTTTTTTTTTTGGTCCCAAAAAAATCGCAACGACTCAGCCGACCGCTGAATAAGGGGGGGGGGGGGGGGGGGGGGGGGGGGGGGGGGGGGGGGGTAAGAGGACACTTTTTTTTTTTTTTTTTGGTCTCGAAATTGGAAATTTGACATTTTGCTCCGTTGGGGGGGGGGTAAGGTCACCTTTTTTAGGTCGGCCATGGGAATAATTTTTTTTTTTTTTTTTTTTTTTTTTTAATAATTAAAAAAAAAAAAAAAAAAAAAAAAAAAAAAAAAATCCAAAAGGGGGGGGTTTTAGTTTTTTTTAGGGGGGTTTACACACAAAAAATTCCAAAGGGGGGGGTTTAACCCCCCAAACCCCCCCCCTGCGTACGCGCCTGGACTGAAGTCACTTGATGAAACACGCCAGAATTACGTAGTAGGTAGGTGATGGCTTTGTCCCCCATAACGAATGGCGATTAACACGGCCTGCTGTGCATGTAGCGCAGTCGGAGCGCAGTGCTTCGCGGTAATGACAATCTTCGGCCTTTTCCACTTGAATCTCTCCCTCTCTCTCTCTCTCTCTCTCTCTCTCTCTCTTTATGGGATAAAAGAAAGCTTACGAAGCTACTCATGTAAGGCATAATCTTTCCTATCGGTCTGTATTAAGCTTTAAATGTTGAATTGGTACACTTTAGTCGAACAATTGCAGCAACTAGCTAGTTAGCTGGAACGAAAGTGAGCAGTATACTGCTGTACGTAAGCGCCGCGCGCACGCAGCGACTCTTTTTTCAGGAGCTAGGGGGTCGTGTTACACTTTAAGACCATGTTACGACCTCAACAAGCGCTGGTCATCACCACGTACCAATATTTGGCTCGCATAATTTCAAATTTGCCCCCCCCCCCCCTATAAGAAATCCTGGATCCGCGCCTACATTATCAAAGGGCAAAAACTCAAATTTTTAGAAATCTGATTTTCTCGTCGAAATTCAGTTACCGTCCGCCGATTGAATTTTGGTTTCCTCTCTTTAAATTGATTTTAATCACACATGCGTGAAATATGCATCATATAAGTTGCATCAAATGAAAGAAGAGGATCTAAGCTTTCCACAGTGTCATTTATTAATTATAAATGTGACTAAGTTATAATAAAACCTCGATGTATCTCGGTTTCGTTTTTTCTGGGACACACTGTATATCAAGTTTGCATTGACGTTGCCGTTGACGTTCGTTCCTCTCGATCTCTCTTGTTACGGTACAGTTCAATTAAGATGAAATGCTTCAAATAATAACAAAATATTGTGGACTCGTATATTTCCACAAATACGTGGCAAATTTCACTGGTACCAGTTAGTGGATGGGGAATCATTTTAGAAAAATTGTGTGATACCAAAAAAGTTTTTTTTTTTAATGCACACCGTTATCACATTTATCAATAGAATGGAACATCCGTAATATTTATGTTTAACGGAAAGGAGGAAGGAAGATATCCGGGCAACACTTGCTCAAATAAATGGCGTAGGCCTACTGGGGGGGGGGGGGGGGGGTTGTAATGGCAATCAGTCAAGAACTGACTATGATCACCAACGCATTTCATATTAAGTGCTAATTTCTTTCTTTTGTAAATATATAATGTTGATAACAGTATACAAATAAAAAAAATAATTTAGGCTTCTCTCCCCCCCCCCCCTTTTTTTTGGGGGGGGGGGGGGGTTGGGCCTGCAGCCCCGGCGTTTTTAAGGTGGTCTCAATGCCCGAATATCCTGAAAATGGGATAAGGAACAGTAGTACGGTATGAGTAGTAGTAGAAGTAGTAGTAGTAGTAGTAGTAGTAGTAGTAGTAGTAGTATATAGTAGTAGTATTCAGGCGCGTAGACAGGGGGTGTTTTGGGGGTTAACCCCCCTCAATTTTTTTTGGGGGGAAATAAAAATGAATACTCCTTACTACTCCTTACTCAGCTAGATGAGTTAGATGCTATCGTGCACTCTCTCTCTCTCAAAAAAAAAAGAAGGGAGTATTTTACACTCAGAAGCGTGAGATTGTAGGGCCCCTGGTATATTAGAGAGGGATGCCGGTGTGAGGGGGGGGGGGGGGGCTTTTTCACCCAGCAGGACGTTGTGATACCGAATCACTGATCTGATGAACGTTAGACTTTGGACTTTGGACTGTGGACCACGAATGCAGTCAACGAATTAGTCGAATAACGTTATGAAAAACTGTTATCGTGCCACAAATTTTGGTGACAGAGAAGGTCAATTACCGGTTATCTTCAAGGATACCATTAATTACATTTGTTTGTACGTCGCTTCGCGCATGCGTAAAATCATCTGTCCACATGTTTGCGAGTAATTTTCGACGTGTCTTTTCGGCTGCCTTTCATCAGAGAACTTTCACCAAAGTCTCTCTGGCTTCTCATTCCCGTGTACAGCCATCGAAATTTCAGTTCGGAAATTTTCGGATTTTAGCAATGGCCTATTCAGTTGAACCTCGAGGTGCACCCAACTCTCTCGACTACCGCCTGTTCTTCAGTAAGTATGACACTGACAGCGCGCACCCAGTCCGCGCTTCCAGGCCGGACCCGCCGCTCTGGCTGTCCAATGCAGGGGCCCGTTCCTCGAAACCGTCATAAGTCCAACTTCTTGATTATCCCATTGAAACGTGTGTTAATTTTATAACACACGTTTCGATGGGATAGTCAAGATTAATTTGTTAAACAGTTTACCAGGGCGATCGTATGCAATCAATTTGTTTTTGGCTCAACAAGGAAGGGGGAGGGGGTGGGTGTGGTACTGGACAGGACCAATTGGTAATGGTATAGAGTCTAGGCTAGTCTAGATCTAGATCTAGACTAGATCTAGGTCTACTGTTGAGCAGTTGAGTAAAAAAAAATGAATCATAAATACGTTGGTTCATTTCTAGACTACACTTTTACGGGGAGGTTTTTTCATAAACCGGGATATTGCCGGAGGGCGTAGTGGCGGGAGTTTACGACTCTCGAGCTGCAGCTGGTGGGACGGCGGGAGAATGAGCGTGGACGTGGTGGTGTGATGTGAGACTCGCTCAAAATGCGGGAGGGTTGACAGCCCTGGTTTATTCGGGGTTATTTGGGCGCTTGTTCAGAAACGTATCCAAAACTTGACCCGTGACTCCGGCGTGGAGGTACCCTACTAAAACATAGATCTACCCAAAATGAAGTAAATATTCATTAAATGTCCAAATAAAGATCATGAGTTCAAACTAAAAGTCGTTATGTTTATTAATATTACCTGTTTCGTGTCAATTTTCATGTTATTTTTCGAGTATTTTTTTGATAAACGTTGATATTAGTATACACTTTTTCACAGGTTTCACGGCAAACAGCGCCACTGCACTATACAAGTACATACAGAGGTGGGCTGCGGGTGGGCGCGCCCCTGTGTGAAGTTATCTACCGTAATGAGGATCTGAGACACGGTAGATAACTCCTCACAGGCGCCCGCCCGCAACCCACCATCGGTATGTACTTGTATTGTTTTTGAACAAGCGCCGTTATTTGTTCAAGTTTTGTTTCTACCTACAACTGTAAGTTAGGTCGCTGTATGTGCATGTGTGTTGGTTGTGTATCACTACCAGCAACCTTAGGGGGCCGTTTCTCGAAACCGTCATAACTACAAGATCGACGACATCTCGCCACTGTCACGCAACTTGTCAGCTAAGTGTTTCACGAAGCCGTCTTTGCCAAGATGAGCGACAACTTCCGCGACAAGCGAGTTGTCACTGCTCCGAACCTGTCATATCTTTTTAATTGCTGTAAAGCGCCATCACAAGTCAGTTTGTTGCCATTCCATGGGCCGCGAAATGGACGATTAGTTTCACTATCATTTTGAGAAAAATATAGACGGGTTCGGTACGTAATTCTCTGGGATGCGAAATGCAAATGTACAAAAGTGAGAATACAAATTATACAGAAACTTTAAAAAGCTGAATATAAACATTAAATCACAAATCATTACACTATAACATATAAATAAGAGAGGTAAGAATGTTACACACCGTTTTCCATAGTCGATCCATAGTCTTTTCTTAGGATACCGTCATACCTTTGGGGCCTATGTGCATTATTATTCCCTCTCTAATTACTTCTTCCAAATTATATTTTCAATATCAAATCAATTATATAACGAGTTTTTATGAGACTTTAGAATAAAAACTGGCTGAGAAAAGACATTTTGCCTAAAATTCCTCGTCACAATAAACAAAAAAGTACGTATTGATAAACTATCACATTACGGTATCCTTCAACTAACTTTTGATTCGACTGTCGAAAAAAAACACTCACCGGTTTTTCTTCAATTTAAGAATCTTTACAGAAATATGCAAATCGTTTGATGATGTAAATATGATAATGACACTATTTATTATTTATTTTAGGAGAATTTATATGTATATATTTCTTTTGAACAATTTTAGCCCCAAAACTTGTTTTGGGTTATTCTTGATAAATCAAATGGATTGTGACAAAGACTATGTTCTTGAGCTGCTAGTATCGCGATATATCGATATCATGTCTGTCATGGCTTTGTGAAACGGTTTATCCGTTCCATGACATCTCCGTAGGTCGCCGACAAAGATATGACTGTCATGGAGTTGGTTTCGAGAAACGGCCCCAAGATTATTATTTTGTGCATGCAGCATGGTGGGTGGATGCACATATTTTATGGAAGAATTTCGGTGTTGGGAAGACCGGTGTTGAGGAAGACTGGTGTTGGGAAGACGAGTGTTTGTCCAAACTATTTTTTAAAGAATTGAGTGATGTTGCGGAGATGACAGATGAACTTAATGAAGGATCATGACATCATGTTCATTGATTCTGAATTTGTAATCTAACTTCTGTTAAAATTAGCCTTCATCATGTTCATAAGCCCAGCAAGGTGATGTTATGAAATATGATATTGATATATCACAAAGCCATAATTAGAATCTCATTTGTCTGTGTGAAAAGTGATGCAAACACGTCAAATTAATGTGTACAAGACAGTGTAGGTACAGTAGTCTATAGACTACCTTTCATGATTCCAGCACACGACGATTCGCGCAAAATACAATATCGAATTAATCAAATAGTTGAATAAATGAATTACAAGTTGTGTATGCGAAAATGGCTGCTTTTGCATTACTTCACAACAATAGCCATTAGTATTTTATTGTTGTTATTTTAAAATCTGTAGATATCCAGAGAGTGTATTCATGCCATAAATTTGATCTTGCTTACTTGTTTTTCAGATGACCCTATATTTTATTTTAACCATGCTCATTCCATGTATTCACCACATGTTCTTTTTTATGTCCTTTCAGGGAACAGCAATGGTCAAGTGATATCTCCATTCCACGACATTCCACTCTATGCTGATAAAGAAGTAAGAAAAGGAATATTTGTGTTCTATCTTTGAAGTAAAGGTCACTAATTGAAGGCATGGGCCTGAGACTGGGTTTGGGCTTTTGTTCAATAGATCGTTAAACAAACTATAAAGTTAGTCTGAGCCTCTGTGGTCTAGGTTTTCCTTTTGTTCTACATGATCTTAGACACAAGAACAGGCTTAACTGAATTCAACGGAGTTTAAATGAATTTGTAGAAAACGGACCATGTAGTATGAATATCACACAAATTGAGGAGGCTTTCTGTCAGATCATTGTGTGGTATTTAAAAAAAGCAAAATGGCACTTGTTAGTTGTACTCATTGATTGGATATCTGTAAAAAGACTTTGAATCCCTCCGAATATAGTCAACAGCACCTCCTTAGGGATCTTCAAGCAGGGGGTGCAACAAATGAGGCTTTGTTAAGCCTCTGCTGTTTATTAGCCGCACATAGTATCAACTTGTAGTGAGATTTTTTTTTACTTGCACTATTCATCTGGGCACTCGACAAGCACAAGTATGATAATACGCCAACGGGGGTCTTTACTTTACTGGAAGAAGTAGAAGAAGAATACGAACCTTCCATTTATTGTTTTATTTTTCTTGGTCCTCCTTAGTATTACCCTGTCCATGTGTATTGTACTCTGTTTACAGGAACAGATATGCACTGATAAAATTGCTAAAAGGCACAGATACTAGGTCTGTTTTGAAAATGTAGGTAAAAGTTCAATGGCCTACTGCCCTGATAGGGTTAAGATGACATTTCAATAGCAGATTTGCAAGTCTTTTGATTCATCATATTTTTGTAACGGATTTGTATGTTCTACAAAATCAGAGAATAGCAATGAATATAGACATACTAAAGCTTTCCTGTGCTGACAGAAAGAGCTTGTGAGGACTCTCGTGTTATTTTAGCTAGCATTGCTAAAGCTTGTTGTCATTAATGTCTACATTCCGGCAGCCAATCACAGCCTGTTATTTTTCGCGCGCTTTGTTCCGTTAGGTTCCGATTATATTTTTTGATTTTGTCTGATTTTAGCTTTCTGTTGAATGAGTGCAAGATGAAAAGTATAAGTATGTTTGAAGACGCTGCTATTCTTAAATGTTTGTGTGTGTTTTTATTGTATACACAGGAAATTAATTACTCCATGTGTTTGAGTTAGGCAAAGTCCAAGAGGTCATTAATACAGAAATTATTGAACTTTTGTTCTGTCTGAGCTAAGTGTATATTGATCTTTCACAAGCTCATGAAAGATTTATCTGCCAAGTATTTGTGTCTACTTTTATGAAGTTTTGCAATCTGTGTGTGGTTTGTAGTACAAGCTTATTCAAAATAATGACTTTGAATAAATAAAAAAGAAAAGAATTGTTTGCCTAATAGCAACATGTAGGAAAACATTAAAACTATAAAATATCATAGAATTCAGTGAGGAATTGGTGGCTCATCAAAACACTTATGATATTCTATTTTACATATTTTAAAGAGTCAATATTAAATTTTATGTAAACATTTATTCTATTTGTATAGTCAACTTTGACATACATACGTTTATGATTACTTTTATGCAAGCAATGTACTGAACAACTTGATATATTTTAAAGATTACCAATTTACAAATAATGGTACTATATACCAACTTTGACAAATGAAGAATTCACAATCAAATCATACTTTGCAAGTGAGACTTTTTCTATATACATAAAGATGATTTTTTTTTTTTTTAAATGGTAAACAGCCATACTTTCTATTCAGGGCTACAGTAATACACTGAAATATTCTGCTCAAAATTAGTAGCACTGATGTACAAATACATTACAATTCATTTTTGTAAGCGGTAAAAAATTCTTCATCGGTTTCCTTTCCCTTTGTAATTTACAGAATCAGATTTTGAACATGGTTGTGGAGGTTCCTCGATGGACCAACGCCAAGATGGAGGTAAGATTGTATGATGTTAAACACATCCCTAAATAGGCACCATTTTAAAGTTGCCAATTTGAATCTGATTCATTTTGCACTGTTTTAAAACCATCTTAATAAGTTATTCATGCACAGGGCCACTTACTGTAGGTGCTTCTATTGGCATAACACCATAATATTGCGACTTGGAGAGGTACAGTTATGATGTTTTAGTAAATATATATGCACATGAACAAATGAATGAAAGACAACTTCTTGCCATCCCATTCCATCTTTTCAATGCTTTGGGTACCACCGAAGGATTGACCTGTCCATTTGGATTAATTTCTTCACGTCTTTTCTGCTGGTACCCTTTCCTTCTTCCACCCTGCACTTGCCAACAAAGATTTTTATACCTGGTTGACCGTATGCTCACGTAGAGTGTTGAGGTCTTGTGGATGCGTCACTAGTCTAGTTCTGGACCATATATTGATTTTGTTATTCGCCGACTATAAACGTTAAGCCGAGTGATGGCGTGATCCTTAGTGATTGCGCGATCCCCACAAACCGCCGATAATAGTGGGGATCGCGCAATCACTAAGGATCGCGCCATCACTCGGCTTAACGTTCATAGTCGGCGAATAACAAAAATCAATATAGGGTCCAGAACTAGACTAATGCATCACCAGACTATGGATCACATGTTCTGTAGTTCAAGTATGCTTCAGCACTAATGTCCATTAGCTTGACATCAATCTATACTCGCCACTCTCCACCCAGGTGTAGTAACTGGGTACCTTTTAGGAACTGATTCCTTGCAGTTGTCAGCTCCTGAGAAGAACAGCTGAGCGAAAGACAGGATAATAATACACTTTGTTGGAGCATCTCCTGGGATGGATGCTTACTGTGCAATATACATGTATATAGATAAACAGTTAACAACTAAATTATTCATACCCTTACACAGTGTCATTATTTTTTAAAACTATGTGAAATATTTATTTGTCCCGATTCATGTTTCTTGAGAATGTACATTTTAAAGCTTCTATCTAAAAGTATTAAACAAAGGCCCCTAATTCAACCAGTCCATCTTCAGTCTTGAGATTCGAAAAAAACATGAATAATTTTTTTTTTTTTTATAAATATAATGCTTCCTGGGAGAAATTTCAATAGTTTAAACATATTTGTGGCTTAAACCCAGTAAATAAGATCGATTAATCGATCTGTAATTGAAAAACAGTCGCTGCCCGGCAAGCAGTAGATGGCAGGTTCAAATCCCGCTGGTTCCAAGATTTTTTCTGACTTGTTTTTCAATTACAGATCGACCAATCAATCTTTTTTACTGGGTGTAAGCCACAAATATGTTTAAACTATGAATAATTTTGTTAACTGTAGATATAGCTATTATTAACATTGTTTTTCTATTCATTGGTTATGTATTGTATATATTCACTCTTGTTGTTTAGATCGACACCGCCGCTCCCATGAACCCTATCAAGCAGGATGTAAAGAAGGGCAAGCTACGATTCGTCAGAAACTGCTTTCCTCATCACGGCTACATCTGGAATTATGGTGCCTTCCCTCAGGTAATTAACGATAGCCATTGGGCGACTCCTTGCAATATCTTTTTTTCCATGTGTTTCATAACAAAATGAAGAAATCTATTAAAATTTTTATTTATTCATTTCTTTTATTGAATGTTATCCCAATTTAATTCCATATTTGTTGATGCGTTGAATAAAAAAACATCTAATACCATGTACCAGTAAATGAATAATTTGAAATAACATAATAAACAGCTTCTCTGATAAAGTGTTATTTAGTAGACATGTTGAAAACAAATCTAAAGTAAAGTATCAAACAGATATGGCAATTGAATAACAGTATCAATACTTAGTTTAATACATCAAGAGAGTTTTCATTCGTAAATGAAATATTAGAGAGATATTTTCAGCAAGTTTCTTTCACATTGTGTTTATTTCTTTCTTGATCTTTTGTGACATTTTCTTTTAGACATGGGAGGATCCCAACCATACAGACGCTAGTACAAAGTGTAAAGGAGACAATGATCCTCTGGATGTGTGTGAAATCGGCAGGAAGGTATGAAATCTCTTAGCTGTCTCTTTATATCTCTGTCAGAACTAACCTTGTTAATGCCAGACAAGCAGTTGAGGCAGGTCAACCTAATTCAGGGTTCCACACTATTATGTTTAGAAGGGGGTCAGAACTGAACTTTTATTATAGTCTGAATGCAGTACTGTGAGACCTGTCTATAAAGACCACCCAAGGGAGACCAAAACAAATGTGGTCTTTGTAGGCAGGTGGTCTTTATGTACAGGTTCCTTTAGTACATGTACATGTTTCAATGAGAAAGCATTTTCAAGGAAAACAAAAAAATTGTAGTCTTTGTAGACAGGTGGTCTAGGAGGGCGTTCAAGCAGGTTTGACTGTATTTAAGAATTTTGATATTTTGGGGGTCCAGACTTAGATTTTGGGCACTCGGCACCTGCTGGTGTTGACTCCTTTTTATTGTTTCAATTCCTTTTTTTGTTATGCATAGGAATGATATAAATGATTAATTCTCTGATATCGAAAGGAGAGTCACATGTGCAGGATATTAACAGGATATTTTGTCAAAATATGCCTGTGAAAATCTACATGCTGGATGCGGTATGAAAACCAAATATAGACTGCTGATATTTTGGGGTCATGGTTAAAGGCCCACTGCACTACTTGTAGCTACTTGCGCCCTCTATATTACAAACCATGCCTAATCGGTGACCATTGGTCCCCCATGATCCTCTTTTTCTTATGTTAACTGAGAGCTGAGTTGATGAGATAACCACCTGTCCAGTTACCTTGCATGGCAGTCTAATCCCTCCTGTAAACTATGGCAGATACGCTTTAAAACCAGATCTCATTGATAATCTTGAAACTGCACTTTGCCTTTGAATTCATCTCAGAGCACTGTCCAGTCTTGGGCAATATCTGTATAATATATCCTTTCTCTCAGTAGTCATTTACTAACTTCAAAAGATTTTGTGTTGTGGTTGTTAAAGCCCCACTGCACTACTTATAGCTACTTGCCCCCTCTAAGCTCTATATAGCAAACAATGCCTAATCAGTGCCTGTTGGTCCCCCATGACCCATTTTTTCTTATGTTCGTTGAGAGCTGATTTGATGAGATATACACCTGTCAGTGACCTTGCAGGAATGTCTAATCCCCCCTGGTCGAACTACTGCAGACGGGCTTTAAATGTAATTTTCTGATTTGTTTATTGTCTTGCAGGTAGCCAAGAGAGGAGAAGTTATCCAGGTGAAGGTCTTAGGAACCCTTGCTATGATTGATGAAGGTATTTTAATATCTCTTCCTCCTGTCAGTCCTTGGACCCGTTTCACAAAACCTTTTTTCAATGACAAATGACAAAAACTAATGACAAATCTGCTGATAACCAATCAGAAGCAAGGATTTCAGTAGCTTATAACAAAGACTGTCATTTGTCACTGATGACATGTTATGTGAAACGGTCCCTGTGTTGAATTTCCTAAAAGTATTGATAATGGATATCATGATGTCGACTTTTCTGAGTGTTCAATGATGACGTTTCATGCAAAGAAATGGAGTACCCTGATAAAACATGAAAGTACATTGTTTATGGTTATGTTTTTTATGCCTCCGCTGCAAAGTAGCCGGAGGCATTATGTTTTCGGGTTGTCCGTCCGTCCGTACGTTCATACATGTACGTCCGTACGTCCCGTTCTCGTGATCGCGTTATCTCAAGAACCAATTGATGGATTCCCGCCAAACTTAGGTCATGTATGTATCTTGCAAAGCCAATGAACTGATTAGATTTTGGAGTCACAAGATCCAAGGTCAAAGGTCGAAGGGGTCATTATGTATACAAAAATGGCTTGTGATCACATTATCTCAAGAACCCATTGATGGACTCCCGCAAACTTGGGTCATGTATGTATCTTGCAGAGCCAATGAACTTTTTAGATTTTGGGGTCGCGAGATCCAAGGTCAAAGGTCACAGGACTCATTACGTATGCAAAAATAGCTTGGATTCCAGCCAAACTTGGGTCATGTATTTATCTTGCAGAGCCAATGAACTGATTAGATTTTGGGGTAACAAGTTCACATGTCACAGGGCTCATTATGTATGCAAAAATAACTCGCTTCTGTTTTGGTTTGTAAAATTGCTCCATGGCAGAGGCATCATTTTTCGACTGCGCGCGGTTGAAGGTCCATCTAGTTTTTGTTTTTTTAACCCATAAAAACAGCAGAATCGTATAGAAACATGTACAAGTAAGCCCCCTCAACCCCAACAAAAACTTTGCTTTAGTATTTTCTCATTAAATTTTAATGAAAGAGCAAACATTTTATGAAATTTTTCTGGCCCGGGGCCGACGAGCCAGTGGTAGTGTCGAGTTTTCGTGAAAATCTGATTTTTCTCTCCAAAATCTGATTATTTTTTTTAGGATACTCGGTCTGTTTTTTTGTGTCCAGTGGTTGGAATCTCTGCTTTTGGTACAATTTACCTTTAAATATCTGCCCATGCACGGATTGTATTTACGAACTGGCCTATTCAGTAAAGAGAGTAATGTGAAAAGGGATCAGTTTCTTTTAAGTAAAAATGTACGTATTCCAAGTCACCTAACCACCAATGAACCTCTTTATTTCTAGGTGAAACTGACTGGAAGATTTTTGCAATTGATGTGACCGACCCACTGGCGAAAGACATGAATGGTAAGTTACATTGTTTGTGCATTTCTGTGTTTATTTAAACTTTGATACTTTGGAATACTGTATTACCGTGATGCATTTGCAGGATCTCCATCGCCGACCCTCTTTGCATACATGTAGTTGCCATTTCGGAGAAATCAATGAACTGTACTGCAGACTTCATCAATATTAAAGCTTATCTGCCGTAGTTTACAGGAGGAATTAGACTGCCCTGCAAGGTCACTGGACAGGTGGTTATCTCATCAACTCTGCTCTCAGTTAACATAAGAAAAAGAGGATAATGGGGGACCAATGGTCACCGATTAGGCATTGTTTGTTATATAGAGGGCGCAAGTAGCTACAAGTAGTGCAGTGGGCCTTTAAAACAATGATGCAGGGGGTGCCTCATCTTGTTTGCCTCATAGTCGTGCGCACGTGGACATTTTCTGGAAAAAAACGTACAGTCAAACCTGTGTATTTAGGCCACCCCAGGGAAACACAAAAGGTAACCACTGTAGACAGGTGGCCTTTCTAGACAGGTTCTTCAACACATGTTTCTTCCTAGAATGAGATGAAATTAAGAGGTTCAAAATCGCTGTTTTTTCCAAATAAAAATGTTGAACATTTCAACGAGGAGGCGCGATAGCTCAGTTGGTGGAGCAGTGGTCTTGTAATCCGGTGACCCGGGTTCGAAACCAAGTCGATGCGCTAGTACCCTTTGGTAAGGCATTCCTCCTCATTACCAGGTCCCTCGGAGAGGACCTACAGCCGTTGGTCCTCTGGTTGCTTACTAACATGCATTTATGCTTTCTTAGCAGTCAGGTAAAAATAACCACCACATAACTCATAAATATGGAGCTTCATTACTTCTCATTTCTTATCTTAAAACAATTTTTTCAGACATTGATGACATTCGGAGGTTGATGCCCGGATTTCTGGAGGTGAGTAGAAAAGGTTCTTTAAAATAAGATTTTACAACATTTGATGGATACCCTTACAGCTTGTATGTCCATTGAAAGAAAGCATCATCCAATTTAATGTTCAAGATGCAACATAAATTTGGATTGGACAAACAATCTTATGTAATTTATGTATATTTGTGTATAGTTTGGTATTATACCATCAACTAAGTAAAAGGGCCCCCTACAGAACCTCAGTTTCTTTTGGGAATCCCCAGGCGTTGGTTGATGGCTTTCTCTGTTATTGTAATAATTATTGTAATCTGTTTTCTTGTATTATTATTTTTTTTTCTCTTCACCTCTTCAAAGGGACTTTATTCTAACATTTCAAAATACATATAGACTATTTACAAAACAAGTAAAATGAAACATGAATTATACACATATCAAGGGTGATCATTATAACGTTTCTATTACTTTCTTAACTTCTTCATTATCGAAGTATCTAATATTTTCCTTGTATTTCAAATAACATTTCAATGATAAAATAAAATAATTTATTAACCTCTTTTGATTAGTTGGTACTTCCCCAAAGTTTTGCTTTACGTAATCTTAGACAGGCATTAGCTCAAATTATTGTCAACCTTTCAAGTAGTTTTTAGGGATTGCTGAATTTATAATATCACTGATTGGTAACAATTTAGACAATGTACCAACTGAAACATTCTTTGTAGATGTAGTTAAAGAATAATAGAGACCGTTGGACACATTTTTCTCAAAATATTCATCTGTTGCATGTGCATCCATTTTCTCTTCTCCTGGCATATGATATTATTGGGATAGACCACTACATAGTTAGCACATGGTTCAAATGACCCAACATATCCACAGATCTTTTGATCATGGAGAAGTCCCACTTTGTGCATCTTACAATCATCACTGCCAGAGTGATGAAGGTGCTTTGTGAATACATTTTGTTTGCCCTATTGAGAAGAATACTTCCACCAGTATTCCACAGAATGTACAATCAGTGTATAAATGAGTAATGAAAACATAACTTTCATGAGCACTATTCCAGTATTCGTCTCAATGGGTTTTACAATTTTGGAACAAATGACCCTTAAATGAACTGCATTTGACCTGTATATGACCATTCAAAGATTGTATGTATGAACTGGTGTATTGTTTGCTACCATGTGCAGATTGTATGTATGAACTGGTTTATTGTTTGCTACCATGTGCAGATTGTATGTATGAACTGGTTTATTGTTTGCTACCATGTGCAGATTGTATGTATGAACTGGTTTATTGTTTGCTCCTTTTCCAGGCAAGTGTGAACTGGTTCAAGATCTACAAGGTTCCCGACGGAAAGCCCCTCAATGAGTTCGCCTTCAATGAAGAGCCAAAGAACAGGGTAAGCAAATGAAAGGTGTCTTTTTACAGCGTCTGACCTGGAGAAACAGTTTGAGGGGTCATTGACACAAAGACGAAACTCCATTCTGGCCATTTTGAGAAAAAGTGGTTTATGTGTCACTGAGCAATTCGGCCTTAAAGAGTTAAGTACATGTTTCACTAGCCATTGACTTTAATGGGGTGTTGGGTGGAGAACAGTCTTTGTGTTTCCTGGAAAGCCCACATTTTTGTGAATATTTTTATATTAAATACTAGTACTCATTTTGGCAAAATATTGAGTTACGTCTTTCTGTCACTGAACCCTTGATTTAATCTAGTTGAGTGGCATTTAGGCTTCATTTCCTAGTCCTCTTTAAAGGGAAAGTCCACCCCAAAAATAAGTTTGTTTCGATAGAGGCAGAATAATAAGAAAATCAGGTGAGTGAAAGTTTGAGCAAATTCTGAATGAAAATAAGAAAGTTATGAATTATTGAAGTTGTGATCAATCAAATACAAATTGGCAACTCTGTGACTTATCATACGAGCTCTCCTTCATTTGCTTTGTGCATAATATTCCATAAAATCATGTTTTCTTCGTTATTGATGACAGAATATATATTTGTTCCTTGCAGGGGGAGTATAGAAACATATTTGCAATTATTATATTTAGGGTGCATGTATGGTTGAAATTTTTCTTGAGGGAAAATGAAAATTTTAGATTTTTTTAGTACTGAGCAAATGGAAGTTGAGCTCGCATGATACGTCATAGAGTTGCCAATTTGTGTTTGATTGATCAGAACTTCAAAAATCCTAACTTCCTTATTTTTAATCGGAATTTGCTCAAACTTTCACTGACTTGTTTCTCTCATTTTTCTACTCCTATTAAAACTAACTTATTTTGGGGGTGGACTTTCCCTTTAATCTGTGTGTGTAATGTTCCTTCATATATTACTTTCAGCAATATTTGGTGACTTCTTTGGTCTTGCCAGTCTAAGAAACTATATAATACATGAAAACTACTGTACATGGACCATTGTCCCTTGTAAAATCACCCCTGTACAACTTTCCCTATGATAACTGCTCCGGATAATTATTTTTGCTGCTGTTTTGTTTTTACTGAAGGATTAGGAGTTTGCTTCTATCGCCTAAGTTGTAGATTTTAAGTACTGTGTCTTATTGCTTTGAAAATGAGACATGTATAGTTAGTTTTCTTGTTTGAAAGGTCTTACAAAATGCAGCTGAAATATTCTCTCTTTAGTGCACAATCATTTGACATGCAGTGGCAAAATATATGCGCATACATGTATGAAGTCACAATTTGTTTCCTCTTTATTTATCACAGGAGTTTGCCATGGGTATTGTTAACGAGACCTCAGGACAATGGCAGAAGCTTATCTCTGGCGAGTCAGATGCAGGCAAATTAAGCTGGTAAGTTACCTCTCTCAGTTGCTCGTAACACTCAGTATTTTCATGACCATAGCCCCAATGTGGAACCCATTTCAAATTTTATTTAGCTGGTTTTGTTTTGTTTTGTTTTATTTCCTTTTTAAAGATACTATGTCCCTTTTGCAGCCAACATCAAATTCTGCAGAACTTTGCAGGAATTATGAATATGTCATGTATGTTGTAGCTGTGAAATTTAAACATTAGCAGTGTCCTAGTATTCAACTTATGCAAGGAAACCTGTTTAACCTTCTAGACTCCACTGTCGGACACTATTGAGTCATTTGAGTGACTGACTGACATCTTTTTTTCTTTGGTAATAACATACATGAAATGAGCTGTAACAGGTACATGTGCTTTTGTCTACATTAATAACCCACTACTTGTAATGGCCAAAATTTAATTGATTGAATATTTTTGCAGCACAAAACGTACAACCAATTGGCGAAATGTCCTGAAAATCGGACTATTACTTAGGTGATTGCAATCACTCAAGTTGATTTGACTACTAATAGTCGTTAGTTTCCCACTAAAAGCCATTTTCGAACCCTTTCATTTTGAGAGAAGTTCTTAACTAGTATTGTCTTTCAAATGCTGTTGGAATTTAACCTTTTCATTTTTTGGGCCTCCAAATGGGACATACAGTGTAGTACCTTTAAAAGCATGTACATGCAATGTTCTTTATGAACATTAAAAATTATTATTCAAAAAGAATATGGCTGGATTGCTCTACTCAGAGCTATTATGAAATGGCTCTGTTCTTCCTAGATATCCAGCTCCTTGCCATAACGTCACATTATTTATCCCTTTTCTTTATCCACAGTCAAAATGTTACAGTGGACTCCAGCAAGTACAAGGTGTCTGCCGCAGAGGCGCAGGCAGAATTTGACAAGGTTAGTTTTGAGGAGGCGATGTGGCGCAAGAGGATCGTCATCTGGGTCTCATGACTTTTGCATACCTGCCAACCCTTAAGAATAATCCTGAATATTACGTTTTTCGGATTTCTAGGACCTGAAAATCCGGAATATTCTGTTTTTTTCAAAATTTCAATTTTTTTTATTTTTTATAAATAATTAAAATTATTATTATTATTTTGTTATTAGTATTTTTTTTTAAATACTCAAAAGCCATATTAAGCTTGTTTTAACATGCGCCGCGATGTGAGAGTTCACGTCTTGTGCATGATCGAGCAGCGAATTTGTATTCGCTTTTTGGTGAAGATTTACCACGTATTGCCAGTTACGCTGCCGTTGCAAGTCTGATTTCTTATTTTCGAAGGTATACAGTGCTAGAAATTCCTAATCCTATTTTCAAATGTTGGCAGGTATGCTTTTGTTATGCGCTTGGGTTTGAGTCCCGCGCTAAGCAGACAAAAATGCAAAATGGTTGCCGCGCATTGTGTGTATTAGAGCGCGCCCCTCCCCTCCTTATAGATGCATGCTTGGGTTCAGGGGAAAACACTCCGTTTATTGGACGCCCCATCTGGAGTAGAGTCACACGTAAATACGCTACACTTCTCGAAAAAGAGTAGGGTGTAAACCCTGTGTTTCGCGTGCCTGCATACAAAACCGGTAATTTTTCTACAGATCTTCGTGATAGGCTGCATAGCCCTTAGAAGAAGGAGAGGAGGAGGGGTTACAGTTGCTGCATCAGAAATCTCCAATGGATTCCCTCTTATTTTCAGAGATATATCTTGTCTAGAAACCTTAACATTTTCCTTGAAAATGCATGCCTCATCCCCTGTAATGCAGTCTAAGTAAATATTGTTTTTGTTTAAATCATGGATTTTATTTAGAGCACTTTGTTTTTTTTGTTTTGACTTGTCTTTAAAACCCCTACCTTTTTTTAAATAGGAAAACAAAATTCATCCAAAAGCATTGTCAGAGTGAATTTTCAATATTAGTTGCATTATAACATATAAATTATATGTCATTTTGGTAAACATTTTTTTCTAGGAATGTTCCATTTATATACTTTTGAAGAAATGAACTATAATATCAAACACTTGTTTTTCTTCCCCACCTTCAGGCTGCACCTGTAGCTGATCTTATACCTAGGGACCCAGAAGGTAAGATCACTTTCATTTATTCTAGAAAAATGCAGGAATGGTAAATAATATACAAAGCGTTGATGACTATGACAATATCTGTAAGCATTTACAGATATGCTATTACTGTAGTCATCACTGTTACCTTGTCTGTGTGAAGAAGATACAGAAATGTGAAGCACATTGTGGAGGTGTCTAGTGGATACGTCACCGGTCTATGGATGACATGGTTCGCTGTTCAAGTCCCGCTGCAGCACCAATATCCTGCATACAGTAAAAGGATAATTGCATTTACCAGCAAATGTTATTCCTTATGCCTGATTCTGTTGAATGCAAAAGAAAAATTAAGCAGAATCAACATTGAACATGTGAATTTAGAGTAAATAGTATAACATTTTACTGTTATATCTATTCCAGAGTTGTGTTTTGAAGCAAGTGATATAATCCTTTCTTGAATGTGAATAGTAATGAAATGTTTATAACAACACTAATTTGTATTCACCTTTCCTATATCTGTATCTTTAAATTTCAGTTGACAACAACAACCATTTTGTGAACACCAAGGCTTGACTATCTCACCCTGCTCATCCCAAGAAATGTGCCTCTTCTAACCTTTGACCCTGTTATGTAACATGCCTCTCATGTTTCTGCTTTGTATCTTCACCCGGTAGATATCCATTTTTACTGGATTCTTTGATTGTGCTGTGTTGCTCAGTCATCTGTTTGAAAGGCAATTCTATATGGGCAGTATGAATTCTTTGTGAGAAGGGGAGGGTTAGGGGGCGGATTTGAAGATTAAATTGAGGGTGGTCTTAAGATTGCATGTGTCTGTAGATAAGTTAATAGGAAAGGGTGATTATGTATTACATAAGAGATAACTTGTGTATTGGAAGGTTTTAGAATATTATAATCAAAATGGTAACAAATTGTCTCAACCTTGCTGAAAACTGCAAACAATGAAAAGCACTGAAAAGCACTGAACACAGATTTAAGTATATGGAACTACACTGACAAGTTGCATCACAATTTTATCCAAAGTTTGAAACTGTTTTAAATCTAATAGCCGGGTAATACAAATTCTTTTCACGTGACATGGTTTCTATGGTACCCGTACCCTTGTAAAGCTCACAAATTATTACACTAGCACTCAAGGTTCTCTTTATTACAGCTATTTTTGTTATAATTTATATTGAATTTCCACCTGTAGAATCATGCAGCAAATCAGTGATGTAGTCTAGAACTTGTGTTCCAAGACCTGGAACTACATGCATAGGAACAGGTCTATAACACATAGCTGGAAATCTGTATGTGTACCAGTATAAGTGACAGGGAGCATCATGCATCTTACAATTGAAAGTAAAGAGTGTTATTCATGTTACCTCAATTAATTTTAGCTTTATATCTTAACCGACATATAAGGATTTGCAGCTGATTTATAAAATAGATTGTGATATTTATGAGTCATGTCCTGGGTTCCACGCAATAGACCATTTTTGTTATGTGTTACATAATTTCTATGTATATGTAGGTCTTGGCTACGATAGTTAAAATTGATCAAGTGCAAATCCAAGATATCTGGGGGGCGTTTCACACAGCCTTTTATCAATGACAAATGACAAAAATCTGTGACAAATCTGCTGATAACCAATCAGCAGCAAGGATTTCAGTAGCTTTTAAAAAAAACTGTCATTTGTCACTGATGACAAGTTTTGTGAAACACCCCCCCCCCCCCCCCCCCCAGGTCTCATTGTGTTCTCCTTGTGTCCATTACCATGTAGAGTCAAACCTGCTTCAGTGACCACCTGTCCACAAAGACCATGTTTTTAGTTTTCCTTGAAAATGGTTTCTCATTGAAACATGTACTAAAGGAACCTGTCTACAAAGACCACTTTTTGTGTTTTCCTGGGGGGTTTGACTGTATTAGGTAATGCTGAAATTATTGAACATGATAGCTACCTTTGACCTTCATATTTCCTCCCTCTGATCTAAGCTAAATTATGGCTGTCACATTGATGTAATGATCAGAAAAACTAAAACACATTGGACAGAATGCCTTGGAGTTTTCCTCCAATGTTGTAGGTCCATGTTTAAGCCTACCTGCACTAGTTTTGGCCAGGAGGGATAAGACCTCCCTGCATGGTCACTGGCAGGTGGTTATCTCATCAAATCAGCTCTTAATTAACGTAAGAAAAAGGGGACCATGGGGGACCAACGGTCACCGCTTAGGCATTGTTTGCTATATAGAGGGCGCAAGTAGCTATAAGTAGTGCAGTGGGGCTTTGAGGTTTATATGTGCTTGGCTGAAAGGATGGTGAAGACCTGAAGATGCTTTCCTTTGTTTAATCAAGAAAAAAAAGCTCATATTGCATGATATAAAAATATTCTGGATTTATGTAGGTCTTGATAGGGGTGATTGATCTCCTTATGTTACAGATTACTTGCTAATTATGGAATTTAATATTCATTTCCATTTGCTTTGTTGGGGAATCGGTTGATATGAAACATTTGGCCGAAAGGATGAAACATGAAAATGAAACATTTGTTCACAACTCAGATTGGGAATGGAGGGTATCTTCCTCTCATTTATTCTGATGTACATGTATTGACCTGGGATGGCACCAGATGAAGTAAAGCTTGTATCTTTTAACTTCGGTGATTCAAATAGTAATTTTTTTTTTTTTACAATTATTGATTTGTTTTCTCATCACAAGGCTAGGGTTGCTTGAAGAGTTATGTACTTCAGGGCCGGTATTCAATTCAATACTTAGAATAAGTGAGAAATTTACTAAATAAATTACTAAGCTTAGAACTTTACTTATCTCGTATTCAAATCGCATTTTAGACTTTAAAATATGTAAGATAAAATTTAAGTAAAATACGTCGCAATAAATGGGTCCTAATATAATTGTGCATAGGATATTATCCTGGGTTAGAAAACCATATGCCTACCAATCAAGGCCTCCAATTAATTGACTTTAAGTCTGGTAGGGAGCTGTCTTAAATTTATGGTAAAATACTTAGTCAAAAGTTTGAACTGAAAACCAAAATTGGCTAAGGATTTTATCTAAGCCTAAGTAAAATACTCATATTTCAAACTTAAGTATTGAATTGAATACCGGCCCAGACTTATACAGTCCTGATGTAAAATTAGATACATGTTGAACACTTAACCATCACAGCTGATGTATGTATGGTAAATCAATATCTATTTGTGTTTATTCTATTTATTTCATTCCAAATGTGCATGTCTTGGGATATATTGTGCTATCTAAATAGCTTCTTTTTCTGTTACTTTGGTGGTCTTATTATACAGTGTTGTGTGATTTTTTTTTTGTGAGATATTTTTCAAATTGTGAGATATATTTGTTGCTCAAATCTCTTGAATTCTTAGAGCATGTTATCTACTGGGAAGTTTTCTAGCAACACTTTACTGTCCAAATTTTCTTTTTAATATCAGGGAAAAATAGAATCTAAGAGTAACACATCTCCTTTTCACATGACTAGAAATATTGCCAAATAAATCAGAAAGTAAGTAAATCTTTTTGAGATTCTCAAACCATGTAATTTTTTTAATGTACCATTCTTGTAGACTGTCCTCTGTAGAATTATTAAACCGTTAAGACGCTTACTCCAATATGTAATTTCCTATTGTTTCTGATATACAGCACACCTCTCTTATACTTAAAAGTGTTATGCGATTGTAATCCAAAGAGTAATTCAAAATAACTTATTATTTCTTATATTTGTTTCTTTCTTCAGATATGGAAAAAAAATCGTGACATTTGTTTGAGAATGAATACAGTTGTTTTTATTATACATGTATAAATATATATATCTTGTATTCACTATCCATTAATTCAGAATCGATGATTGGCTGTAAGCAATGACGTCACGCATCAGATGGATGTGCATTTTCTTTATGTAGTTTGTATCAAGAATGATTTCCTTATCCGTGTGTTCATGTGACTCTGTGTGTGGCAGAATAAATCAATTGAAATACATGTATAATAAAGTGCAAATACTACCTTGAAAATAAGCGTTTAAGTGTTATTTGTGATGGAGAAGATGAGAAGAAAACTTATTTATTTTTGAATCGTTTGATGAGAGCGAAAGGGTGTTGAATTTATTTTGGATGTTTTTTTATCTCTTTGGTTTATTCACTTGACTTTCAATCTAAGGGTTGAGGGTTCAAATCCCAGCCAGGCACTAACGTCCTCTGGCAATTATAATCGCAGGGATTGAAGAGAAAAAGCATCGAGGCTGATGAAGCTTCTTAGCTTCCTTGGGTAAACAAAATTATTATAATATTATTATTTTATTTTTTCATAAAATCCTCTTCTTTTTTCCAGAGTGATTGTGGGGGAATGTATTGCAGAAGGTTAAAAATCCATGGAATAAATTATAAGGTATTTTGAAACGTGAGAAGAAAAAAATGAGAAAACATGAATGATTTTACGTACGGGTTCTTTTAATACATTTTTCAATGAGAAACACAATTTAAGGGATACAAAAAAAATCTGGTCTTTATATGCAGGTAAGCTTTCTATACATGTGGTATTGTGGTGATATGTACTCAGGATTCAACTATACATATTTATTGTTAAAGAGCCTTTAAAGGTACTATGTCCCATTTGCAGGCCAAAAAAATGAAAAAGTTAAATTCCAACTGCATTTGAAAGATAATACTAATTTAGAACTTCCCTAAAAAAGGTGGGGCTTGAAAATGTCTTCAAGTGGGAAAATAACGACTATTAGTTGTCAAATCGACTTTAGGGCTATAGAGCCCAAAAGTAATAGTCTTGATTTTCAGACAATTGTACTGAATGGTCATATGTTTTATGCTGCGCAAAGATTCAATCAGTTTAATCTTGGCCATCACAAGAAGTGGGTTATTGATGTAGACAAATGCTCATGTACCCTTTACAACTCTTTTCATGTATGTTATTACCAAAGAAGAAAAAAAGCCAGTCAGTCACTCAATAGTGTCTGACAGTGAAGTCTAGCAAGTAAACGGGTTTCCTTGCATAATTTGAATATGAGGACACTGCTAACGTTTAAATTTCACAGATAGGACATACATGACATATTCATAATTCCTGCAAAGTTCTACAGCATTTGAGGTTGGCTGCAAAAGGGACATAGTACCTTTAAAGGTTAATGTACTATCCCATTAAGACACAGCTCTATGAATATAAAATAAGTCTATACATTAAAATATTCACATACTCTAATCTTCGTCTATTCATCGAATACAATACTGTTACCAAGACGTTTGATGAAAATGCATTTCCTTCAATTATTAGCTAGCATGGAATAGATCTATCCTCGGAACTGAGCTCAACTTTTAACTTGTTTGAGGTCTCGAAGCAAACAAAGTACTATCGGACAACCAAAGTCTGTAAAAGAAGATTTGGGTTGGCCGAACTGACCCACTGATTAGCAAACTAAAATTATATTGTATGCTATTTTAGGCAACAAAATAACTCAGTTGATGTCAAAACATGTATACACATTGTGCCTTCTAAGAGATGTATAATTATACCTGAATTCAGGGAGCAATTACTACACTGTCGCTCATATAGTTGGAATATTTTTTTTTTAACCCCAATTTATGGTAATTATCAATAATTCATTGAGTTCCCCCCGGTCCCCGACATAACAAAATTGTCTGTATACGGCTATATGCATTATGGCTCAAGGCATGGGCACACAGAAGATGTTTTTTTTTCTGTTGGGGACCGGGGGGAAAATTAAATGAATTATTGATAATCTATTTTCTTTACCTTGTTTGTTTTTGTCTCGCCTGCGTAGCAAAAAGCGAGACATAGGCGCCGCTTTTCCGGTGACGGCGACGACGGCGACGGCGGCGTCAACATCAAAAACTTAACCTATTAAGGTTAAGTTTTTGAATTTTTGATATAACTTTTTAAGGTATAAGTTCTTAGTCAATGAAACTTTGACTATAGGGTAATCAAGTATCCCCAATCATGTGAGTAGAATTTCAGAACACAAAGTCAAGGTCAAAGGTCATTTAAGGTTAAAGGTAATACAAAGTTTTGGGAATATTTCATCAGGATTGGATCATGAAATTTAAAATTTGCATTACTATTGTGAAATATAGTGTTA